GTAAGTATACACCATCCCCTTGGTTTGTTATGGCAGCAACACTTCACCTCTGACACCTGTCACACCTGTCACACCTGCCACACCTGCCACACCTTCACTCACACACCTAACCGTGATAGCAGCTCTCAAGGGACCTGAGCTAGAGCACGACACGGCCTTACTGGTGTGGGATTCATCTGTTAAAAACCTGCTGTGGTCTCAGTGGTGGCCCATGCTAACCTTCCTATGGTGTATACAAATACACCCAGTTGTACGAATCTTGCTAGAGGCAGCTGGTCCAGTGGTTAGCCCACTGACCTGTGAATTGTACCACTCTCCCGTTCCCTGAGTTGTCACAAATAACGTGATTACCTTCAGTTAACACCGTATGAGGTCACTGTGTGAGGTCACTTTGAAGTCACTGTGTGAGGTCACTGTGTCAGGTCACTGTGAGAGGTTACTGTATGAGGTCACTGTGTCAGGTCACTGTGAGAGGTTACTGTATGAGGTCACTGTGTCAGGTCACTGTGAGAGGTCAGTGTGTCAGGTTACTGTGAGAGTTCACTGTGTCAGGTAGTGTGTATTACAATGACAAGTATAGACTAGTGGCCTGCACACCTGGCTGTAGCAACATCACCAAGGTAGGTACCAGCAGAAAGGCAACACAGATAAGAAACACTAATGGTTCTTTTACCAAGCAGCAAGCAGTGTATATACAGTGTATATACAGTGTATATACAGTGTATATACATTGTATATACAGATGACTTGTAGAGAGTAAGTAATATTTGATAGTGCCACGGTCACTCACAAGGCGACCACACCTCCGACCACACCCCAGGTGGTGACCACACCTCCAGGTGGTGCCCGCACCTCCAGGTGGTGACCACACCTCCAGGTGGTGACCACACTCCAGGTAGTGACCACACCTCCAGGTGGTGACCACACCCCAGGTAGTGCCCGCACCTCCAGGTGGTGCCCGCACCTCCAGGTGGTGACCACACTCCAGGTAGTGACCACACCTCCAGGTGGTGCCCGCACCTCCAGGTGGTGACCACACCTCCAGGTGGTGCCCGCACCTCCAGGTGGTGCCCGCACCTCCAGGTGGTGACCACACTCCAGGTAGTGACCACACCTCCAGGTGGTGCCCGCACCTCCAGGTGGTGACCACACCTCCAGGTGGTGACCACACTCCAGGTAGTGACCACACCTCCAGGTGGTGACCACACCCCAGGTAGTGCCCGCACCTCCAGGTGGTGCCCGCTCCTCCAGGTGGTGACCACACTCCAGGTAGTGACCACACCTCCAGGTGGTGCCCGCACCTCCAGGTGGTGACCACACCTCCAGGTGGTGCCCGCACCTCCAGGTGGTGCCCGCACCTCCAGGTGGTGACCACACTCCAGGTAGTGACCACACCTCCAGGTGGTGCCCGCACCTCCAGGTAGTGACCACACCTCCAGGTGGTGACCACACCCCAGGTAGTGACCACACCTCCAGGTGGTGCCCGCACCTCCAGGTGGTGACCACACTCCAGGTAGTGACCACACCTCCAGGTGGTGACCACACCCCAGGTAGTGACCACACCTCCAGGTGGTGCCCGCACCTCCAGGTAGTGACCACACCTCCAGGTGGTGACCACACCCCAGGTAGTGACCACACCTCCAGGTGGTGACCACACCCCAGGTAGTGACCACACCTCCAGGTGGTGACCACACCCCAGGTAGTGACCACACCTCCAGGTGGTGACCACACCCCAGGTAGTGACCACACCTCCAGGTGGTGACCACACCCCAGGTAGTGACCACACCTCCAGGTGGTGACCACACCCCAGGTAGTGACCACACCTCCAGGTGGTGACCACACCCCAGGTAGTGACCACACCTCCAGGTGGTGCCCACACCTCCAGGTAGTGACCACACCTCCAGGTGGTGACCACACCCCAGGTAGTGACCACACCTCCAGGTGGTGCCCGCACCTCCAGGTAGTGACCACACCCCAGGTAGTGACCACACCTCCAGGTGGTGCCCACACCTCCAGGTAGTGACCACACCTCCAGGTGGTGACCACACCCCAGGTAGTGACCACACCTCCAGGTGGTGCCTGCACCTCCAGGTAGTGACCACACCCCAGGTAGTGACCACACCTCCAGGTGGTGCCCGCACCTCCAGGTAGTGACCACACCTCCAGGTGGTGCCCGCACCTCCAGGTAGTGACCACACCTCCAGGTGGTGACTACACCCCAGGTAGTGACCACACCTCCAGGTGGTGACCACACCCCAGGTAGTGACCACACCTCCAGGTAGTGACCACACCTCCAGGTGGTGACCACACCCCAGGTAGTGACCACACCTCCAGGTAGTGACCACACCTCCAGGTGGTGCCCGCACCTCCAGGTAGTGACCACACCTCCAGGTGGTGACCACACCCCAGGTAGTGACCACACCTCCAGGTGGTGACCACACCCCAGGTAGTGACCACACCTCCAGGTAGTGACCACACCTCCAGGTGGTGACCACACCCCAGGTAGTGACCACACCTCCAGGTAGTGACCACACCTCCAGGTGGTGCCCGCACCTCCAGGTAGTGACCACACCTCCAGGTGGTGACCACACCCCAGGTAGTGACCACACCTCCAGGTGGTGCTCGCACCTCCAGGTAGTGACCACACCTCCAGGTGGTGACCACACCCCAGGTAGTGACCACACCTCCAGGTAGTGACCACACCTCCAGGTGGTGCCCGCACCTCCAGGTAGTGACCACACCTCCAGGTGGTGACCACACCCCAGGTAGTGACCACACCTCCAGGTAGTGACCACACCTCCAGGTGGTGCCCGCACCTCCAGGTAGTGACCACACCTCCAGGTGGTGACCACACCTCCAGGTGGTGACCACACCCCAGGTGTGTCTGTCAGTGTTTATGAGACACATATGCAACAGTTAGGTAACTTTATCCCCAGACGTTTCGCCCAGACAGTAGGGTTCTCCAGGCGAGTACTGAGGAGGCAACAAAAGCTGGAGAAATGATGTAATCAGTCTATTATCGTTGAAGAATTGGGTTTGAGGGGGTCAGTCCCTGAGCCTGGAGGCTGAGGGACTGGTAGTGGTAGTTGGGTGAGTGGTGGTTGTAATAATGGTGGTAGTAGTAGTGGTAGTTGAGAGAGTAGTGGTAGTGGTAGTCACTTTGTATGAGGCTGGTTAAAGGTGAGGTGTCACACTGCCATCCCTGCCACCCCTGCCACTCTGCCGTACCTGCCACCCCTGCCACTATGCCATCTCTGCCACTATGCCATCCCTGCCACTCTGCCAGTCCTGCTACCCTGCCGCTCTGCCATCACTACCACCCTGCTACTCTGCCACCCCTGCCACTCTGCCGTACCTGCCACCCCTGCCTCTATGCCATCCCTGCCACTCTGCCAGTCCTGCCACCCTGCCGCTCTGCCATCACTACCACCCTGCTACTCTACAACTCCTGCCACTCTACCGTACCTGCCACCCCTGCCACTCTGCCATCCATGTCACTGCCATCTCTGTCACCCTGCCGCTCTGCCATCACTACCACCCTGCTACTCTGCCATCACTGCCGCTCTGCCATTCCTACCATCCTGCTACTCTGCCATCCCTACTACCCTTCTATTCTGCCATCCCTGCCACTCTGCCATCCCTGCCACCCTGCCATCCCTGCCACTCTGCCATCCCTGCCACCCTCCCATCCCTGCCACTCTGCCATCCCTACTACCCTGCTATTCTGCCATCCCTGCCACTCTGCCATCCCTGCCACCCTGCCATCCCTGACACTCTGCCATCCCTGCCACCCTCCCATCCCTACCACTCTGCCATCCCTACTACCCTGCTATTCTGCCATCACTGCCGCTCTGCCATTCCTACCATCCTGCTACTCTGCCATCCCTGCCACTCTGCCATCCCTGCCACCCTGCCATCCCTGCCACTCTGCCATCCCTGCCACCCTCCCATCCCTACCACTCTGCCATCCCTACTACCCTGCTATTCTGCCATCCCTGCCACTCTGCCATCCCTGCCACCCTCCCATCCCTGCCACTCTGCCATCCCTACTACCCTGCTATTCTGCCATCCCTGCCACTCTGCCATCCCTGCCACCCTGCCACCCTGCCACCCTGCCACCCTGCCACTCTGCCATACTATGGATTACCTTACCAAATCAATCTTAGTCAGTTTTTAAACCTTCCTTTAATATAATAATAATAATATAATAATAATAATAATAAAATATAATAATAATAATAATAATAATATAATAATAATAATAATAATAATAATAAATAATAAATAATAATAATAATAATAATAATAATAATAATAATAATAATAATAATAATAATAACAATAATAATAATAATAATAATAATAATAATAATAATAATAATAATAATAATAATAATAATAATATATAATAATAAAAAATAATAAAATAATAATAAATAATAATAATAAAAATAATAATAATAATATTAATAATAATAATTAAAATAATAATAATAATAATAAATAATAATAATAATAATAATAATAATAATAATAATAATAATAATAATAATAATAATAATAATAATAATATATAATAATAATAATAATATTAATAATAATAATAATATAATAATATAATAATAATAATAATAATAATAATAATAATAATAATAATAATATAATAATAATAATATTAATAATAATAATAATAATAATAATAATAATAATAATAATAATAATAATAAATAATAATAATAATAATAATAATAATGTTAACTAAGCATCAATATTAACGTTAGTGTTGGTGGTGTAGTCAACCTTGGTGGAATGTTGGGTGATATTCACCTTTGTAGACTCCCAGCACCTGTGTCATGCTGTGTGACAGTGACATACCTTTGTAGACTTCCAGCACCTGTGTCATGCTGTGTGACAGTGACATACCTTTGTAGACTCCCAGCACCTGTGTCATGCTGTGTGACAGTGACATACCTTTGTAGACTCCCAGCACCTGTGTCATG